GGGGGGAAACAGGTTGTGGGGGGGGTGGGGGCACCCCCTACCTGTTGCTCCCCCCGGCAGCCCGGGCAGGGCCGCGACAGAGGCGATGGCAGCTCGGCCGAGGGCATCCGCGGTGGGTGCGCGGCTGCGGCGGGGCGGGTCCCTCCCGTGCGGGGCGGGCGGGCCGGGGGAGCCTGCGGTGCCCGCGCCGCGCTGGGAGCGAGACCCCCCCGCAGCCCCCCGGGAAGTTTAGGGGTGCTGCGGGGCTGCGGCAGTGCCCGCGGCGAGCTCACAATGCCACGAGAGCAGAACCGCTCTGCTAACCGCGCTCCGGCTCGCCCTGAGCGCGGCCGTGCCCAGCAGCTGCCTGCAGCAGGTGGAGGAAAGCGGGCTCCAAAAATCCCCCTGGAGGGATTTTGGGGCGGGGGGAAAGAGCCACCTGAGCGCTGTCACCACTGCAGCAGTACTAGTGCAAAAGCTCTTACGGTGGCGGTTCACGTGGCACGAACCCAGGGTGAAAAATCGAGAATTATTGGTATCATCCATTCGCTGGCGACTGCTAGAGGGAGCGCGGATGTTTCCCTGTGCCTTATCCATCCCTCAGAGGGATCCACTTGTGTGTTTGCCAGGGCTGCAGCAAGCCTGCAGAGCTGCCACCCTGCCCGTGGCAGCCGTGCAGATGGCTTCATCCTCACTGAAGTGAAATTATAGAATCACAGAGTGATTTGTGTTGGAAAGGACCTTAAAGATCGTCTCACCCTGCCATGGGCAGGGACACATTCCACCACATTAGGTTGCTCCAAGCCCCATAGACAGGGATGCTTTGGAGACCATGGCTCACGTGGCTATGCCAACCCACTCCATCCTTGCATCCCAAATCTGCAGGCTGTGAGTTGTCACCTGAGCCACCTGTACCTGGAAAAGTTCACAAATGGGTTTAGGAACTGGGCAGGAGCCCCATGGCAGTGGGGTGGGAGCCTCACAGAAACAGGAGTAATGTGGGAAGCACAGCAAGGAGCCAGGACAGTGAGCAAGGACTCTTGTTAAGGGGAAAGTCAGAGAAAATCATGACTAAAGAGGGAGAAACAGCCCAGCACAATTTGCTAAACCCTCTGATATTTGCCTAAATTCAGGCTTTTGGCTGAACAAGCTGAGAATTTGGGGCAGTTCTTTGAACTTCAGGGTGTCCTTGTGCAGCACTGGCACTGCAGAGCCCTGATTCAAAATGCAGTAAAAAGGATAGAAAAGGATTGCTGTTCTTGAGAGCTGCAGGGATGGCTCCAGGAGAGGCTGGACCTGAGGTGAAGCAGGAGCACATCACCATCCCACACACCCAGGGATGTGGGCTCTGCAGGAGCATGGGGTTTGGTGTGCAGAGTCCCCAGGCAGCTTTTGGGGACAGAAATGGGGTAAATTTGCTGTGTCAGTCTGCTGAAAAACATCAACAAGAGCAGCCTGGAACCCCCCAAAACCTCAGGTCTGATCCGGATGCTGGAGAAATGGGGTAAATTTGCTGTGTCAGTCTGCTGAAAAACATCAACAAGAGCAGCCTGGATCCCCCAAAACCTCAGGTCTTATCCAGATGCTGCGTACAACCAGCTCTCCAAGAGTCAAAGGGACTGAGTCCTTGCCAAGTGGCATCTAGTCCTTACATCCATCTGGATCAATCCGTCTGGATATTGTAAAACAGAGATAATTTAGCATTTATTCCATTTATGTTCCATATATATCCCATTCCATTTATTCCATGAAATGGTACAGTGGCTTTTGCAAGGGACACTTATTTCTGACAGAGTTTCCAGCAGTGTCTGCAACCCAAGCTGGGTGCTGGACCAGGGCACTCAGAATATCAGTGGAAAGGTCTGTTTTCCTTAATGAATTCCCAGAGGGCCAACAAACAACCCACGAGGAGAATAAGTGCAATTTTTGAAATTCTTTCTCTATCATCTCTACGGCCATCCCTGAATAAGATAAAGTTCTGTGAGTATATAAAGCAACTGAATTCTAATCAAGATAAATGCCCAGTTTCATACCTAATTTGCATGAGTATGTGCTGCAAACTGTGTTTGCAAATGGGAGAATTATGTATGTAACCAGATAACCTGAGTGTGCAATCCCAGTACCGTATATGCAAAACTTACTCATTGCAATGAATGAAAGTAAAGCTTCAGCAGAAAGGAACTTGGCTTTAAAGTACTGGCACTTTTTTTTTTATCATAAAAAAATCAGGTTAAAGCTGATTTGAGCCTTCCAAGAACCCATTTAGCTGCTAAGGCAAATTCCAAATGATGTTTCTTACTCAATCTAACTTTAATAATAGACTGGTTGAGTTGCTGCGCTGTCAGAACTGGAAATTTTAAAATTTACTGACAAAGAGAATTTCTCCATTAGCACGTGGTTATTTAAAAAATGTGTCCTAAAGTTGGCTGTGGCCTCATGGGTAAGTTAAAAACCTCACTCTAAAAACTTTCCTTACTACTTTCAAGTCTTCCTGAAATCCCCTGAAGATATCTTGGAAGATTTTCTCCCCTTTCCCATGCCTCCTCCTATCCTTACTGGGGAACAGCTGGATCCATTAAAATTGATTTCAGTCTCTCAGAGCAGAATTTGATTTCTCTGAGCTTCTTCCTGGAAGGAGCACAGAGTGTCCCAGCAATCCAGCAATATCAGCCAGAGGAAAGGCACGAGGATGGGGCATTCCCAACCCAACTGGGGTGTGCCAGCTCCCAGTCAGAAGGCCAAGCCTTTGCTGGAAACCTCAACATTGGGATGAAATTAAACTTTAGGAAATGAATTGTGCATCCATCCCTTACTCCTTTTAGTTTTAAATTAAGAAAAAATTGAAATTAAAAGCTAATTGAAGACACAAAATTAGAAATATATTATTTCCCAAAATTACTTTGATGATTTTAAAAAAAAAAAAAAATTATTTATTCCAGCATTTACCAGGAAGTTGACAGCACTGCAAGGAGTCTGTGTCCCAGAGGGATGGGAGTTCCTGGCTGCATAGATGAGGCACAAAGGGATTGGGAATATTTCCTAAGGACACAAGGGAAACCTGAGTCAATGCAAGTCACAAATCTTCATTCAACCTTATTACACTCAGCATCTGTTCAGGTGCTCCAAGGGGAGCCTTGAAAATCTGGAAAACACCCTCAGTTTTGGGCAATGTGTTCTGGTAGTGCCATCACATCCAGGCAGGCTATTCCTCAAGAGTGTGAAAGGGAATAAACATGGATAGAGGAAGATTTGAGAGTTGCACCCTTCATCTTTGCTCTTGATACAACCTAAGGAGTACAGTAAAGAATATAAGAAGGTTTAGAAGATGAAAAAGGGTTGAGAAGCACATGAGTACCATTCAGGCCTTCCAAACCCTTTAATTTGCTATTCAGATTACCACTTTTTATAGTTTAATATGTACAATATGCAAAGGAACCAGTTTAACTAAATGGGAAAAGCCTTCTGTGTTAAGGTTGAACGTAATCTAATAGGGCCCTTTGACTTGATTCAATTAAATCCTTCTTTTTCCAATTAAATAATCATCCAGAATTTAATAAAAATGAATTTCCATGTGTCATCCTGCAGAATGATGACCTCTGATGGGGAAGGCTTATGTAAATTCTGCTGATCGCTTTTTATCTGCCTCTGCCTCACTTCCTCCAAAAAAATTGCCTTCTGTCTGTATATTTACATTAATTTCTCATCTGCTCCATGTATCTGTGTTTGCAGGAACAATTCCCAGCTGAAAGAGCTGTGAGTATCACCAGTACATCCTCAAAAATGGACCTTCTGTGATGGGAAAAAGATCTCCAAAGTGGGATTTTTGATCTGTGCCTCAGGTTTGTTGTGCCCTGGCATGCTGCAGGGCCAGCTTCCAATTGGCCCCTTCCAAATATCACCAGGGGCATCTGTATGGCTGTATATCCCCAAGAAAATCCAGTCCAAGAGGCCAGCAACTTCAGCAGCAATCCCCAGGAAAAGCACAGCGTGGCCCACATTCCACAGTCTCTTCCAGCACATCTCCACTAAATAATTCCCATCAAAGCTACAGCAGTTGTTAATATCTACTATTTTTTTTCCCTCTGCAAAGGTGTATTTATAACTGCATTTTACCCCCCCTCTCGCTCATAAAATATGGAGCACCAACTCTTTCATTCCTCAGCTTCCTCAGCAGCATCTTTATGCA